TGCTAAGGCTGCTCAACCACTCGCTATGATGACCAGTTGCTATGACGTGCACTGACCACCAGGGGGTAGACGCTCTGACCAATAGGTTAGCTTGTTGCTAGGGTCTGGCCCATTGGGCCTGAGTGAGATGGGCCAGACACGCCTTGGAGTCCTCCTGCAGTCCCTCCTTGGCTGGCCAACCTCCCACGTCCCTCCCCAGCCTCGATTGTGCACTGGTGGGGTCCCTCAGCCTGGCCTGCACCCTCTCGCAATCCAGGACCCCTGAGGGAGGCACATTGACTGTCAGGTAGTTCCATCTATATAATAAAAGCCTAAGTGATTGTTACAGCAGAATGACCAGTCGCGAGATGGACATCCCCTGAGGGGCCCCGTGCTGCGAGAGGGCGCAGACTGGGCTGAGGAAACCTCCCCCCCCCCCACCATGCACAATTTCATGCACCAGGCCTCTAGTAAAATAAATGCTACTACAAAGCAAGGGGAATGGAAGTATATTGTTGTAGCGTCCACTACACTATACCTAAAATGGCATGAAATTATTTGAAAATTAACTGTGATAAGTTAAAGGTGTATATTGTAAACCATAGTACAGGGTTCAGCAAACCAGTAAGCCAAATCCTGCTCACTGCTTATTTTTGTAGAAAAAGTTTATTGGGCCCTGGTTGGTTTGGCTCAGTGGATAGAGCGTCGGCCTGTGGACTGAAGGGTCCCAGGTTCAATTCTGGTCAAGGGCATGTACCTTGGTTGCGGGCACATCCCTGGTAGGGGGTGTGCAGGAAGCAGCCGGTCAATATTTCTCTCTCATCATTGTTTCTAACTCTCTATCCCTCTCCCACCCTCTCTGTAAAAAAATCAATAAAATATGTTTTTTAAAAAAGAAAAAGTTTATTGGAACACAGCCATACCCATTTGTTTATGTGTTGCCTATGGCTGCTTTTGCACCACAGTGCAGAGTCTGTAGTTGGAACAAAGATCTTATGGCCCACAAAGCCCAAAATATTTATTATCTGGCTCTTTACAGAAAAAGTTTTCCAATATCTGCTGTAGAGTACTCCCCTAAAAACATGAGAAGGTATAGTTAATAAGCCATTAGTAGAGATTAAACATAATCATAAAAAATACTCAATTAACCCCTGGTCAATGTGGCTCAGTTGAAGCATCATCCCATACACCATAAGATGGTGGGTTTGATTCCCGGTCAGGACGCTATTGGGTGATGGACTGATCTATGTTTCTCTCTCACATTGATGTTTCTCTCTCTCTTCCTTTCTCTCTCTCTCCCCCTCCCTCCCTTCTTTCCTTTTTCTCTTAGATCAATTTAAAAAAAAACTCTCAGTTAAATCTAAAATATGGATGGCAAGAATATAGGAAAAGTAGAAGAAAGAACAGTTGGGTCAAGAAATTAAGTAGCAAGATGGTGGGTGGACTTTTATCCAACTATACTTATCCTATATAATAAAAGGGTAATATGCAAACTGACCCTAACAACAGAATGACTGGGAATGATTGGTCACTATGACACACACTGACCACCAGGGGGCAGACACTCAATGCAGGAGCTGCCCTCTGCAGGTCAGTGCACTCCCACAGGGGTAGCTCTGCTCACCCACGAGCCAGGCTGTCAGCTGCCAGCACAGCAGTGGTGGTGGCTGCCTCTCCTGCCCCCTCAGCAGCGCTAAGGATGTCAGACTGCAGTTTAGGCCTACTCCCCGCTGGCAAGTGTAGATCCCCTGAGGGCTCCCGGGCTGCCAAAGGGATGTCTGACTGCCAGCTTAGGCCTGATCTCTGGGTAGTGTGCCTAAGCCAGCAGGTGGACATCCCCCAGGGGGTCCCAGACTGCAAGAAGGCACAGGCTGGGCTGAGGGACCCCCAAGTGCACAAATTTTTGTGCACCAGGCCTCTAGTAATTTATAAAATGCAAATAATATACACACTTTAATTGAAAGGCAGAGATGGTCAGATTGGATAAAATAGCTAGACCTAAGTATATCCTGTGTAAGGGAAACCCACTTTATTTTTTTAAATATTTTTATTGATATATTTTAAAGACAGGAAGTGAAAGGGAGAGAGATCTCCCTACTGGGGATCAAGCCCACAACCTGGGCATGTGCCCTGACCAGGAATCGAACCTGCAGCTTTCAGTGCATGGGATGAGCCACACTGGCCAGGGCGGAAACGCACATTAAGTATGAAGACAGGGATAGGTTAAAAGTAAAAGGATGATAAAATGTATGCCACAATCAATAGGTGAATGGATAAATAAATTATAGTGTGTCCATACAGTTAAATACTATCAGCAATAAAAATGAATGAACTACTAATGCATACAGCAACATGAATATCAAAACATGCTGAGAAAAAGAAGCCAGGTTTTAAAAGTGTGTATATAATATATGATTCTAGTGTTATGAAACTCTAGAAAAATATGGTGACAGAAATCAAAACTGGTTGCCCAGAGATTAACTGGGATGGGGCTCAAGGGAATTTTTTTTATTGTGTCAAAACTCATCAAACATTCATTTAAAATACGTGTATTTTTTATTTATTTATAAGCTACTAGAGGCCCGGTGCACAAAAATTTGTGCACTCGAGGGGAAGGGGTGGTCCCTCAGCCCTCCCTGTGCCCTCTTGCAGTCTGGGACTCCTCGGG